GGATAACAATTAAAATAGATATGATCATTAGCTAAATTAGATTCAATTATAGTTAAAAGAGAATTTCAGAAACTCAAATCTCTTGCATCTCGTAAACATGCAAAAACAGGATTAGATTCAATTATAGTTAAAAGAGAATTTCAGAAACTCAAATCTCTTGCATCTCGTAAACATGCAAAAACAGGAGTATCTAAACTAACTCGAAATAAAGGTTTAATTGCAACTTGAACTATATCTATATGCAAAAATTTATATTTTTCTTTGTGCTTCAAAATAGTTTGAGGAGAAAATAATTGAATATTTTCATGCATATGACTTAATGGAATATATTGTTCGGTTTGTTTAATTGAATAATCAGAAAGAAAATCAAAAGAACCAATTTTATAAATAGTATTAACATCATGTTTTGGGATAGACCAATTATGTAGCTGGTTCTCCACATGAGCCATATTCATTTCTTGGGTATTCAGATCACTAAGGCTAAAATTATGGTCATTAATATTCAAAGACTTATTATTAGAAAGAAGATTTAGTAATTTATTTATTTTGCCAATTAATAATCATGATTAGATACTGTTGATTACTGGGACCTCCTTTGCGGGACCACCTATCATACGACTGACTAATGCTTACACTGGCTGACCAACAATAATCCAATAGCTTCGTAATCACAACTAGTAACAGCTTAACTCGTAGATTTCTATATCTTATTCCTAATAATTAATCCGTAAATAATTCTTTTATAACTATTGTAATTATATGCTCATAAACACTAGTAAAATGTAAAGAAAAAGAAAAATATTAAAATTATAAATGATACATTAAAATAATTAATATATTAATTATAGTAATAGCGAATACTGATTTTTCATATTTTAGTAATATAAGTAGTTTATTGTATTATATTATATACGGAAAATTTAAGTTAATTAAATTTAATTGTTATAAAAAAAATTTAAAACTGCTTGATAAGTAATTTTATTTTGATGAAAATTTAGTTGTAAAATTATAATAATGTTGTATTATTATAAATATGTTATTTCCTTAACAAGTTATTTAATTATTGACTTTTATTTTATTAAAAATTTTCTATTTTGTGAATACTCTTAGATTTTAGTAGTATAAATTGTCCATAATATTATAATTTTACAATAAAAATTATATATAAATAAAATTACATTTAGTTGCATATATAAAAATCAAATGAGTACAGACAACGTGAAATACACGTTTGAGAAAACTAGTATCTTAAAATACACCATAATATACTAGTATCTTAAAATCTTTTAAAATCTAACAGAGTCTTAATTCAATACATCCTCTAGATTTATGTTTATGGTTCAAAAAATTAGGGGAATGTATTGGATTAGAATTGTGTTAGATTTTAAAAGAATTATTAAGTTTGATGGAATTGAAAGATTTTCTATTAGAATTCCACATAAAGTTTTATGGAATTAGTGAGACTTTTTTTTTATAAATTTTGATTAACTTTGATTAAATTACAATGATTTTTATATATTAAATCAAATTAATTTTAGGACCTAATTGAACAAATTAAAAAGTTTTTGGGTCCAATTAAAAAATTAAAAAACAATGAGGACCAAAAAGCAAAATATATCATCTTCTCCAAAATCATTTCTTCTTCATTAAAATCTTACCACCACCGGCAGTGAAAAGCTTATAATGGCCAGCGTTGTCATTGACCATCCCGCGCCCCCAAAATAGTCATGATATTATTGAAAGACCACAAGCTTTTCATCTCTTGTCTGAACCATGATCGTCTTGTTGAAAAATCTCAGGTTAATATATATAAAATTTAAAATCAAAAACTAGCAGCCATTGCTAATCAGTGTCTGCGCCGGCTACCGGAGCTAGCACAAGGAGGGGCCACATCGAGACATGTCCGATGCATGGCCTGTCGCCTACGGCTCACAAGCCTAGTGATCCAACCACGATAATGGCAAATTGTGTTCTTTAATTCTTCAATTATTTCAAAGCTTTTCTAAATTTTTTATTTGATTAAATCAATATTTAATTGAAATCAATTCATAAAATTTTAGAAAATAATCAAATTAATTCCGAAAAAATTTGCAGCAATATTAATATTAATTTTTGTCAAATATCAAATTCTCAACATATGAATTAATTCGAAATTAATCCAATAATTAATATATTGTTTCACACTTTAATGTATTAAATTAAGACTCTATTAGATTTTAAAATATTTTGAATCTTTAGGTTGAAAAATGGATTTGTGAATGACTTTTTTATTTATACTTATAGCTCTAAAATTCAATGAAATCAATAATTTTATAGAATCATTCTAAATTAGCGATTTTTTGAATACCATTAAATTTGTATGGACTTTTAAAAAGTCATAATTGAATACCATCAGATTTTTATGGAATTTGTATGGACTTTTAAAAAGTCATAATTGAATACCATCAGATTTTTATGGATTTTATATCTGAATTGAATACCACAAAATTTTAATAGACTCTAAAAAATCTAGATTGAATACCATTGAAATTTTAAAATCTTTCAAAATCTAACAGAATCTTAATCTAATACACCCCATTAGAATTACAAGTTCCAAAACATATTTTCATAAAATAGTATGAAATAAAATTTTAAATTTTAAAAATATTTAAAATGAAATGAAATTTAAATTTTAAATACTTCAGAATAGAATCGAAATGAAGTTTTAAAGCTGTATTCCATTTCACTAATAGGTAACCGCTGCCCCCCTCTCTCTCCCTTTCACCATTAAAATTTTTTTCCCTTCTCTCCATTTAAACACAAAATCAAGCATGTAGATACATGGGAGGGGCTGATTCTTGTCTTTTGTGACAACCCCCCCTCGTATTTCTAGTTTTAAGGTAAATTTTTTATGTTTTTTGTTAAATAAATTATAGATCTATGTCTATTTTGTCATAAATTCATGTTATTTCATGTTTCTGCTATTGTTTGTGTTTTATTTTCATCTTATGTGGAGTTTATGATCTCTCCATTTTATGTGGGGTTTTGTTTTATTGTTTGCATTTGTTTGGTTTATTTGGATAGGTTGCAATTTGTGGAGAATTTTTTAACTTTATGATGATCTTCGTCTTTTAGAGTCTAGTAGTGTGGCCTGTTTATCCATTGGATTTAGTAGTTTAAATCCTCTATGTTTGTCATAAGCAATTAATTCATGGATAATTACACTATGTATAGAATATTCAAGAAGTTCATCTAATCAACCACTTTTATAATTTTATCTGTTTTCTTTAAGTTCACCTTCTATTTTCTGCTTCTACATATAAAATATTCGAGAAGTTCACTTTTATAATTTTATCTGTTTTCTTCAGTTAATTCATGGATAATTATGCTATGTATAGAAGATTTATCTATTTTCTTCAAGTTTACCTTCTATTTTTTATTAGAATTTCTTATTAGATCAGTAAATAATAATAATTTTATAATTTTTATTCTATGTCTAGCCTTCAAGAGAAGCGTTATGTCATCCCTCTAATATTTGTAATGATTTGAAGTTTTTTAATGAAATCTTAATATTATCTTAAAAAAAAAAAATTGAAACGAAAGTCACTATATTCTGAATTACACCCCTATATGCAATGTTCCGTCTCCCAACTGTTAATTATTACTATTAATTATTATGGATTAATACTTATATATAGATTATAAACTATAGATAGTTAGATAGATTTTAGATAAATCATTGATTAGTAAATAGATAGATAGAGAGATAATTGATGTAGAGGACCTTTTGAGTTCTGAGACTTGGCTGCCTACTAAGGGTGGCCACGATTCCGGAACCGGCGATTCTGGTTCCAATTTTTTGGAATTGGAACCGAACCGAAAATTTCCGGTTCCGGTTCCGATTTGGAACCGAACGGTTTCGGTTCCTTAACGGTTTCAAAATCGACGGTTCCGATCGATTTTTTGATCGATTTTTCGGCAAATCGCATAATTTTAAATTTAAAACCGATTTTTCAAATTTTTAAAAAATTTGTTTGAAAGTTATTTTCTAAAAAAAAAAAATTTAAAATTTGTAAATGGAATGAAATAAGGTATTTATAATAAATCCAAAAAAATTATTTTTCCAAAATACCCTTGAAAGTGTCATTATGCCGTTTATGGTTGTTTGGGAGGGAGTAATTAAGATTTATAATAAATCCAAAAAATTATTTTTCCAAAAATACCCTTGAAAGTAGTCATTATGTAACCGTTTATGGTTGTTGGGAGGGGTAATTAAGATATTTCACAATAATTTCTTTTTAAAAAATATGACAGTTTCTAACGGTTTGAATCGGCTGGAGAACCGGCGGTTCCATCCGGTTCCGATCTGTTTGTGGAACCACCGATTTGCAGTTCCAACAATACTGGAACCGGAACCGAACCAGAAATCTCCAGTTTCGATTTCAGTTCGGATCGGTTTTGATTCCTACCGATTTTAATTCCGGTTCAGACCGATTCTGAACCACCGGTTACAGTTCTCGGAACCGTAATATGGCCAGCCTACTGCCTACAATTTCACTGCTAAAAATGGGAACATGCTTTCTTCTCTGCCATGCTCATTTTTAGGCTGCCAATTTATGATCCTCTCCTCTCCTTTTGTCCCTACACGTGTAACTTACTTAAAAGGTGAATTAACCTCCTTGTGAAGAAAAATTAAAAATAAAACTCTCAGAAGGGTATTTTAGCCAATTCAAATATTTACCCTCGACGTAACACAGCCCACCCTTCATATTTCGGGCCTCTAAGCCGCGTGAGATGCTCCAAAAACTCGTCTCAAGCTCACCGTCCGATTATTTGCGAAGCCCACAGAGATATTAACACGTGGTAGAATCCTATTAGCTAGATTAAAGTTATACAGAAAAATAAAATGCTATTTTTTATCCTTTTTTTTTCCAATTTAATAAAAATCAATAGAGGGGTAAAGTAAGAAAATAACTATAAACACGTTTCTCCAAGGGAAATAAAATCTCAAATCAACCTTAAAAAATATTTGTTCGATAAACGTCTCTCTAAAAAACAAACTCTCCTTTTCTTTCTTTCTCTCTCTAGAAAACACATAAAACTTTGTGTGTGAGTTTCTCTCTCCTCTCGCGGAAACCAATCGACGATTAATCCAAAATCACCTCGTCGTCCTCCTGTCTAATCGGAACGGCGGTGACTATCTCACCGTGCGGCGAATCGTAGCCACTACTGCCGCCGACACTCAAACCAAAAGCCTAAACCCGAATCCTTATAGAAAACGAAACCTGAAACACGAAACAACTTCGTTTTTTTTATTTTTCAAAAATTTTTATCCGCCGGCGATTGACTTCCGGCGATTTAAAAGGTGCGCACGATTATTAACCTGCGCACTATCTATCTTCTGTTGATAACCTTTGACCTAAATTAACCAGACTTAAATCACTCTTTCTTCTCTATTTTTTGTCAGGTATAAGGTTAGCTTCCTTTTAGATCATCGGCTTCCATGTGTCAATCGATTTTCTCTTTTTGACTGTGTAGTTTAGCAAATTTAGGGTTTGCGATTTCAAATATGAGGTGCTTTTCTGCCTTTAGGGTTTCTAAATTTGAGTTTTTGGTGCTTTAACTGATTATTTCAATGGATTTTGCATACTGGCTTATGGATCTGTAATTTGCTTTGTTTGATTTGTTTCTAACGTCTGGTTTGTGTATTGACGAGTTTACAAGTAACTAGAATCGAATTTCCTCCATTTTCTAGTTGTTTTCATGTGTGAATTCAGTAGACAGTGTGTGAATAGAGTCTAATATGGTGCTTGTTCGGTTCAGGTTTCATTTGAACTCTTTTAGGTAATTGTTCTTGGTTTGTATTAGTATTTCATTTTTGGTTTTGCTCACAAGAGCTAGACATTAACTGCAGTTTTCTTTGTGCATTGCGTATTTCTCGTTACTCTCTGTTCAAGGCTTGAACAGAGCCTCCTTTAACATTAATTTGTTTCCTAATGTATGTACCTGGTTAAATAACGTGTCCTATGATTAATGAAGTTTTGATGATAAATGCTTTATTGTTCATTAAACTGGTAAACCTATACTCTTCTCCTCATCATTTTCTGAGAAGTGATACCAACTGGTTTACGTCTAACTGCTTGTCTTTCTGTATTTCTTATTACAGAAGAAGCTACCTACTGCATTGTGTCCATAGCAGTCATATCTGATAGAAAGAGGTGGGAAGTATATTTTGCAGAGGTTCCATGTAAAAGAATGGCTTTTTTTAGAAACTATTCAAACCAAACAGTTTCACAGAGTGCATCGGAAGAAAAAGGCCAGGGGCAGGGAATTGATAGAATGGTGGGAAGTGATGATGTAGATGTGACTTCAAGTGAACGAGAATTTGACATGAATATGGATGCACAATATGAGAGTGAAGGGGAAGATCCTGGTAGGATGCAGAGTGATGTAGCTGCTGACAATGGAGTTGGTGTTAGTAATTCACATTTGCAGCCTTCTGCAAGGAGAAATGCTGCAGGAAAATGGGGTTCAACTTTTTGGAAAGATTGCCAACCTATGGGTGCTCAAGTAGCATCTGATTCTGGGCATGATTCAAAATCAGAATTTAAAAATGCAGAAGGGTCAGAAGATAATATATCGGATGGAGGGGATGACAGATTAGAATCTGAAGATGAAGAGGGACAAAAAGAAGTTGGTAAGGGACAAAGGGGCCATTCAGATGTCCCTGCAGATGAAATGTTGTCAGATGAATACTATGAGCAGGATGGGGAAGATCAAAGTGATTCAGTGCATTACAGAGGATTTAACAATTCTGCTGGGTTGAATTCTAGGGCGCACTTGAAACCTGCACCTGCTAACAACAGTTTCTCCAGGCGTTCCAGAGCTTTACACAACGATGACAATGACGAAGAAAATGATGATGGTGATGCTGATTATGAAGAAGAGGATGAGGAAGATGGTAACTTATTTGTTATTACTCTATTTTCTATGAGGTCATCAATATCCTCTCTAAAACAAGATATGAGATCTGCACAAATTATACAGTTGGTAATTAGTCTTTAGTCTTCAAGGATGGGACTGAATTCTTCATCTTATTGCTTGCAGAAGATGATCCTGATGATGCTGACTTTGACCCTGATTATGGTGTTGCCAGTGGCCAGGGCGGGATCAAGGTTAATGTTATTGCTTTTTTTTTAACATTTATCAGCATTCACAAAGCTACTAAGTGACTAGCCATAATGATTTTTTTTGTTGTTATTTCTCTGTTTCCTTGTCCATTTTGTCTCTTTCTACTTCATTCCATAGCACTGATGAAGCATTTAGTTGTATGTTGCATGGTTAGTGATAATCCCATGAATTTTAGGAGATAATACTAGTACAGGCTCCAACATTCTCTAATCATTAATGAAGATTTGAGTCAGGTTTACTGGAATTGCAAATAATTGAGGTTAATTAGGAATTTTTTGGTTTACTTGTTATGGATATTTTTGGATGTCTTGAGAGTATTTGATATCGTACTTGAGAATGTTTTCAGAGTTGAATTTAGACCAATGGTAACTATATGGCTTATGTTAAGTGGAGTTGACTATGGATGGCTTCAAATGGTATCCCAAACTTGTGATTTTGGCTGATTTTTCATTTACATGATTAGCATTTTTTTCGTTTTTTTTTTTTTTTTTTTTTTTTTGTGATTTTGCTGATTTTTCATTTACAATGATTAGCATTTTTTCGTTTTTTTTTTTTTTTTTTTTTTTTTGGTTGGGGGTGGAGGGTTTTGGGGGCTTATAGAACAATTTTTGTTTTGAGGATGGATTTAAATTTTTGCTCTCGAACAATTTTGGATTTCAAAGAATAAAAATAATTCCATTAATTTGGAATATAAAAATAAAAGTTCATAGTGTTTTTTTTTTTTTTTTTTTTTTTTTTTGGTTGGGGTGGAGGGGTTTTGGGGCTTATAGAACAATTTTTGGTTTGAGATGATTAAATTTTTTGCTCACGAACAATTTTTGGATTTCAAAGAATAAAAATAATTCATAATTTGGAATATAAAATAAAAGTTCATAGTGTTTAAAGTAAGCACACTATGATATGGTTGTGGACTAGCTGGTGAACAAGTTTTTTATGAAGAACTTGGAGCAAGCTGGATCCTTGCCCCTTCTGAGAAGTAGGGCCAATTGTAGAGAATTTGAGAATAATGGAAACGACAAATAAGAGAGGGAAGAGATAAAGCAGTGCCTAGGGATTTCTCTCTTTAACAAATTAACCATTGGGATTCTTCTTAACTCATTTGTAATAACTTGCAGGGAGTGTGAACTCTCAAGTCTAAGATCATACTGTGATTTATGCTTTTATAAGATTGTTTCCTGCATCAGAGGTTTAAGAATCCAGGTTCAGGCTTTTAAAGCTATACATATTGGGCAGTTAAAAAAAAAAAAAAACTCATATCTATTGAATCTAAAAACCACCAAGATAATCTTTTGAGACTGGGATTTATAAAGTATTCTTTTCTTTTATTCTCACCTCTCATTTGATTTTCTAATGCATGTAGGAGATTTCGAACAGAAAAGGACAAGTATCTTTTTTTTTTTTTTTTTGTAAGTTTTAATGAATTGGTAGCATAATTCCTTATGAAAGATATATTTTATGTTTATTATCTACCTGATCCTGGACTCTATTGGTATTCTGCCTTTTCAATGCTTTCGGTATCCTGATAGCACGCTTGTTTTTTTTTTTTTTTAATACCAGGATAAAAACTGGGATGGTGAAGATTCAGATTCAGATGATATTAGCAATGACGAGATTGATGTCTCAGATGAAGATGATTCTTACTACACAAAGAAGCCCAAGGGTAGGCAAAGTGGGAAAGGTGGACGAAATACAAAACCTGCTAAAGAACACAAATCTTTACATTCTTCAGGTCGACAAAAAAGAGGGAAAACATCTTTTGAAGAGGATGAGTATTCATCTGAGGACTTTGACAGTGAAAGTGATGAGGATTTTAAGAGCATGACCAAACGAGGATCACATATCCGCAAATCTAATGCTCGTTCCACAATGTCAACAGCTATTAGTGGAAGAAACAGCGAGATCCGCACATCTAGTAGGTCAGTTCGAAAGGTATCATATGTTGAAAGTGATGAAAGTGAAGAAGTTGATGAAGGAAAAAAGAAAAAGTCTCAGAAGGTGCAGTCTATGTGCTATATTTTGCAAATTATGCTATTTATTAAATTCAATAATTTTTTTCCTTTTATTTTTTTTTATTTGCGTGGATGAATTATTTAAATAAAGAAGCCTTGTGTTTTGCAGGTGTTTGGGATCAATTCTTAATAGAAATTTCAACATGTAGACTAGTGACCATTTTGTACTTTTTTCTTTTTAATTTTTTTTACCGTTTTTTATTTTTCATTTTTATGCCTTTTTTTGTTTGCATGCCGAGTTGCTTGAAAAGATAGAAAATATGGAGATTGTCAAAAAACTGTTATAATATGGACAAATTAATCTCAGTACTGTTTAATATGTCCAAGGTAAATCATTAAGTCATAGAAAGGTGATAGAGCAAGGACCTCTTATGTTGATGTATGGTTGAATGTTTGTTCCAGTTATGGTTGCATATATGTTTATGTTATTTTCTCAAAGTGGAATAGGTTGAATGCTGAATGGAAGTGGTTGGTAGAAACGCCTGGAATTCTGATTCTTGTTGTAGATATACAAATTGTGTTTTTGAGCTTTTCCAAATTCCTGGTTTGCCAATTGTATCTGTCCCTTGGATTTTAGTGTTGTTACTTGCATTTGGGGCCTGATTATTTTGATTTAAACTGGAATTATGCCATTATGTCATGAAGATTTGTTCTCATCTTATTTATCATGCTTGTGGTTTTCTGTAGGAAGAAATTGAAGAAGAAGATGGTGATTCCATTGAAAGAGTGCTGTGGCATCAGCCAAAAGGCATGGCAGAGAATGCTTTAAGGAATAATCAATCAACAGAGCCCGTTCTGTTAAGTCACTTGTTTGATTCTGAACCAGATTGGAATGAAATGGAGTTCTTAATCAAATGGAAGGGCCAGTCACACTTACACTGCCAGTGGAAATCTTTTGCAGAACTACAAAATGTATGATAGACATTCTTTACGTTGCTCATGAGTATATTTAAAGGTGTAATTGATTGCTTACACCTTCTTTATTTGTGGTTCTTCTAAGAATTTGTATGACAATTTTTCTTCTGTCTGGTGTTTAAATTCTATGTTTACGTACATTCAGCTGAGTGGTTTTAAGAAAGTATTGAACTATACAAAAAAAGTGAATGAAGATGCGAGATATCGGAGAATGCTTACTCGTGAAGAGGTAATGCCTTGTGCTTTCATTAGTTAACTCTTCTTTGTTCTTTTCTTAATTGTGGAGATAAGGAGGTATGTGTTGTGATGTGATTCACTTAAATGGTTCTGCAGGCTGCAGCAAAAATATCTAATAAAAATTTGAATAAGAAGAAAATGAGTGGATATCTTTTTCTTCCCTAAGGAGTTAAATCGCAATAGAACTATGGCCTGGAATTATGAGACTGTGATTTTGTCCAACCCCTTTGGAAATAGTCAGTTAGCTTTATTTGATACCTATATTCTTGTAATATTGTTTTATTTTTGTTGATAAAGCTAACTCGTGCGTGGGTGCTTATTATATATTTGAGTTCCCCAAGTTCGCAATAGAGTTAGGCGACCATGTTGTGGCAAAAGAAGTAGACAAGTGGACTATTATCATACCATCGTAACATTTTTTTTAAATGCGACTATTTACCTGATTGCTGTTTTTTTGATGCTGTATGGATTTTAAAGCTGAGCTGGCTCATTAGATAATGTGAAATTTTCATGTAATAGATAGGTAGAATTTCCTGGACCTAAAAATAATGATAGCAAGTAAACAAACAATGGTGCTTTATGGATATTGTCAAAAGTTTTAATGATATGGATGTGTTGACAATGCGGTCCAAACTATTAATATCATGAAAAGTTGTGATGGCATCTGGCTTTTCGCTTTTAAAGGGAGAAACAGTATGGTTGCATAGACAACACTTGAAGTTTCTTCCTTATGTTCATTCATATATCCTTGTTGCTCGGAGCTTAAAGTATGCAATACCTTATCTTAATATTGGCAACAAGCTCTATAAGATGTATGTGGCATATAACGATTTTCTGGTTGGAACTTCTGTATCCTAAAGTACTATCATTTTAGGTGCAGATAAGTATGTGTGGCACCTGAGCTATTTGATTCTAGTTCTGTATGTATATGAACTTGCTGGGATGTAATCATGTGATCTAAACTATCCGTGTTTCTAACTGTCAGATTGAGGTCAATGATGTGAGTAAAGAAATGGATTTGGATCTAATCAAGCAAAACAGTCAGGTATGTGTTTGCATCTTGGCCTTCTTTGGGTCTTCTGCCATATTCTATTACTTCATGGATTTTCATTGCAATTATATTTTGTTTATTTCATCTCTTTGTATCTTCTCAACAATTTCATTTGTAGGTGGAGAGAATTATTGCTGATAGAATCAGTAAAGATAGCTCTGCTAACATTGTGCCAGAGTATTTAGTCAAGTGGCAGGGGCTCTCTTATGCTGAAGCAACCTGGTATTCCTTAACTATACTAATTCTACAATATTGCAACTGTATTACTGAAATTATTTTGTATCTTTTCCAATTTAAAATATTCTATTTACTTTTATCTGCTCGTGATATTTAGATTCATCATTTTTTGAGCTAAGTTGCTCGCTAGATCCTGAAGGGCTGAAGTACTTCTGCATGTGTGCATTTATTTTAACTAATTTCAAGAAGTGTTCTCATGGTTGTATTTAATGTTTTGTTGTGCAGGGAAAAGGATATAGATATTGGATTTGCACAAGATGCAATTGATGAATACAAGGTGTGGCACCAGCCAACTTCTGTTTCTGTCCTCACATGATAAGGTTGTAACCTGGAAAATATTACCCAACATAATAGTGTTTTATATAATTTTTTTGTCATCATGCGGCAGGCACGAGAAGCTGCAATGGCTGTACAAGGGAAAATGGTAGATCTCCAGCGTAAGAAGGGCAAAGGTCTGTATTACTTGGCATCATTTCTGTTATGTGTCATTTCCAAAACTTTGAAATTGTAAAATGTAAACGAGTCGCATTTTGAAATGTGAAGTGGATAATGCTTTTGTTGCCATGCTACTAACCAAAGTTGTATTCGTTGCTTTGCTTGAATTAATTTTTAATTGGTTAGAACATTACTGTATTGTTCCTATTCCTTGTACTAGATGAGATTGTATGGACATATTCTTACTGCATACATTCATTACCTATTTGTTATCATTGCAACTTTTTTGGGTAATTCTATTTTTCCGCCATATCTCCGTCAGATTCTGGATGCTTTTGCTTGTTTTTCAAATTTTAAATCTTATTTTTTTGTTTCTTGTAGAAATATTTGATTTTTGCTATGTTATTAATTGAATAGTTGCATGTTTTCCTACCTATGAAAACATATAAAGGATTTCCTTTCACGATTCTATTATTTATTTTCTGAGAAATTTTTTTTTGGGTTTCTAGCAAGTTTAAGGAAGCTTGATGAACAGCCTGAATGGTTGAGAGGAGGAAAGCTTCGTGATTATCAGTTAGAGGGCCTGAATTTTCTTGTTAATAGGTATGATTGTTTATTCTCCTTGTGGAAAAAGAGGTACTTCAAATATCCTTCTTTTTGACATTTTATAATTAGTTTCTCTTTACTTGATAGTTGGAGAAATGATACAAATGTAATTTTAGCTGATGAGATGGGTCTTGGCAAAACTGTTCAGTCTGTCTCCATGCTTGGTTTTCTACAGGTAAGCTTTTTTCTGTTCCATTCCTTTAACAGCCTTATAAATTTCATGCTTATTGAATATATTGCACATAATTGTATGCTATACCTCCTGCAGAATGCACAACAAATTCCTGGGCCATTTCTTGTCGTTGTACCGTTATCCACTTTGTCTAACTGGGCTAAAGAATTTAGGAAGTGGCTTCCTGATATGAACATTATCGTGTATGTTGGTACCCGTGCTAGCCGAGAGGTGAGTCATATTTTGACATGTATTAAGATAAACATACTTGACTTGATCACTTTGACTATCTGTCTTAATGAATGAAGGTTGTGGATATTGGATTCTACTTTTGATTGTTGATGCATTTTCATCTTACATTGAATTGGAGTCACTATAATACTGTAATTCTACAAATTATGACCACGAGGACTGTGATGCCAATTGCAGTACCCATAAGACGTTTGTACATTAATGCTATAGTCGGTTTAGGTTTTATTGGTTCAGGTGTTTGAAAATCCTTTGCCGGGGAAAGAGGTTGGAAGTTCTAAAAGTACTTATTGTTTAGATTTTTCATAAATACAAGGTGAGTGATTGATAGCAATGCACTTGTCTTCTTGATCTGGCTCTCGGCCCTGGTGCTTGTGAAGACTTCAAAGACTACTGATAGCACGTGTTTAATTGACTTGATACCTTTGGCCGTCTGTCTTAATGAATGAAGGTTGTAAATATTGGATTAAACTTTTGATTTTTGATTTGTCTTGATCTTATGTTGAATTGGAGTTACAATGGTGCTAAATTCTACTATCTGTATCCACTGGAACTCCAATGTCGGCTGCAGTAACTATAATATATTTTTGCATTAATGCTAAAGGCAATCATATAGTTGAGGATTCTTCTCTTCAAGTTTGGTTAAGGTGTTTGAAAACCCTTTACCGGGAAAAGAGGTTGTAACTCTTAAAAGTAATCATTTAGAATTTCATAATTACAAGGAGAGGGATTGATGGCAATGCCCATGTCTTCTTGATCTGGCTCTCTGCCCTGGTGCCTGTGAAGACTTCCATGACTACTGATAACACTATCCTGGAGAACTGTGCTGGTCACTGTGAAACTCTCTTTATGATCAACTATGATATATTGGGAATATAAATTCTTTTCTTCTCTACTGGTGCAGTCAACTCATGGTCTAACCTGCCGCATAATGCTTCTTTTTAGTCAGTTTTAGTCCATAGTCTGTATAATCTGAGAAGCCTGACAGTTATGGATGGATGAGATTCAGGATCTCTCTCTATCCCCCTCTCTCTCCCTCCTTCTCTCTCTCTCTCTCTCTCTCTCTCTCTCTCACAACAAATTCATGGACACGCAGTGACCTTTATAAACTAACATCCTTTTGTTTTTGGCAATCCTGGAAATGATGAAAATATGGAATTCTATATGTCTCTACCTTGTGGAGGTTGTGATATGCTTTCCAGAATATGTGCTGCTGGCATGTTTTTAAAGCTATTTGTGCGGGTATCATACCTAACTATTTTTGTGATTTGTTCTATTGCAGGTCTGTCAGCAATATGAATTTTATAATGATAAGAAAGTTGGGCGGCCTATAAAATTTAATGCACTATTGACTACATATGAAGTTGTTCTGAAGGACAAGGTAGTCCTGTCCAAAATCAAGTGGAATTATCTGATGGTTGATGAAGCTCATAGGTTAAAAAACAGTGAGGCACAACTGTACACAACTCTTTTGGTAATGCTAAATCACCAAGTAATAGAAGTGTTCTGCTTGGATTTCTATTTTGTCTTCAGCTTATATGGTTACTGTTGGATGTTGGATTTGTTTCTCATACAGGAATTTAGCACGAAGAATAAGTTGTTAATTACTGGAACTCCATTACAGAACAGTGTAGAAGAGCTGTGGTATTAATCTCTCATCCATTATCATCATTGTTACTGGTGTTGCAACTTGATTATTTTTTTTCCCTTAATTTGCAACTTGGTTAACTTGATCCTGTGACATATTAGGGGACATTTTTTTTTCTTATGGCTCCAATTAATTAATCATATATCTATGATTTTAGGGTTAATCATGTTCTGCTTGTCTGCACTAATTGTCTTGTTTTGTGCATACAGTATAATTATTTCTTTGGAGGCTATGGTGTATTTGTTATTTTCTGCTTTCGTTTTTCCTATTGAAAAATGCATTCTTTTTTATGTGCAACATTAAGCATACTGTTAATAAAATCACTTATTATCTGGTCTGTCTTTATGTTATTGAAAGCTGTATCTGCCTTAGGTTCCTTATGTCGATATTGGTGTAATTATTGAGCACCTTCGGGAGTATCATATTTTGATATATTGATGAAACATCAATTGCAAAAATAAATTTTGACATCAAATTGAAAAGAATGTGAGAAGTGTACACCACTGTGATCTTTTAAACAATATTCTGTTAAAATATTTCCATTGATATAGAGGGGAAAAAACAATATTTCAGATCTAATCATAAAGGAAAATTAAATTTTAGAGAAAAATAACATGTTCATTCTAAAATTTCAGCCTTCCTTTCAATGCTATAAAAGCTTGCTATTGACTTGCTTTTAAATATTAATTCTGTCTTTGAAGAGGTAAATTTTAATTGCTGTATCTTGGTGGATACACATCCCTGTGTGTTTTTGTAATTTCTTGGTGATAAGTTTCAAAATCCTTGAAAATTTGCCAGCTTTTTACCTTAGTGTCAACACAAGGAAGAGTTTTCTGATGGTCGTGTGAATTTCCAGTATATTGCTGCTAATGATTCCTTGAAAATGAAATATTAACTAGAGTAATTGGTGCTTTATGGCAATATATATATTAAGTTTCAAATCCTGAAAATTTGCCAGCTTGCTTTTTACCTTGTGTCAACACAAGGAAGAGTTTTTCTGTATGGTACGTCTGTGAATTCCAGTAATATTGCTGCTAATTGATTCCTTGAAAAATGAAATAATTAACTAGAGTAATTTTGGGTGCTTTAATGGCAATATATATATATATATATATAATATATATATATATATATATATATATTATATATATTATTGTTTATTATTGTTTTGTTTTTCATTGTTAACAAGTAAGGGCATGTAAACATACTGGCCCAATTAAAATGTTGCTTTTTTCTTTTGTCATTCTTTTTCCTTCGATCTTGTTTCCCTTAGTTGCTACACACCTGGGTTTCTCCTCAGCTTTTATGATCCTCCTCTTTTCTTGGATTTGACAGGGCTCTGCTTCACTTCCTTGATCCTGATAAATTCAGGAACAAGGATGATTTTGTTCAAAATTACAAGAACCTTAGCTCATTCAACGAGATGGAGGTATAGCACAATAGATAAATACCTTTTGTTACATCATATTCTCCATGCTTTATGATTCATCCAAATATTCATACCTTCACTATTTTTGAAAACTGTATTTTTTATCGTGTAGCTTGCCAATCTGCATATGGAATTGAGGCCTCACATCCTCAGAAGGGTCATTAAGGATGTAGAAAAATCCTTGCCTCCAAAGATTGAGCGTATTCTGAGGGTTGAAATGTCCCCACTCCAGAAACAGTGTGTACTATTTCAATTTCTGATGAGTTTTTGGTGTGCTTTTTGATAGTATGTTGATTGATTCTTGGCACAACCTGCTGCTTGCATTTGTGTAGGTACTACAAATGGATTTTGGAACGCAACTTTCAGGACCTGAACAAAGGAGTTCGTGGTAACCAGGTCAGTGTTTGCATTGAATATTTGGTTAAATTAAAGCCTTGGAAATTTTTATGAGAGTTCTTCTTGAATTGACTTTTGCCCTTGATATTTATCATAGGAAGTACAGTAGTAACAGTATGAAAGGCTTAATGACCTAAAATGTCCCAACTTTTCTCACTTACGGTTTTGATAAATTCATTTAGGTTTTATCGATAAGGTACTTTAACTTGTTCTCTGTCCAAATCAAATGGTAAAATATTGGTATCTAAATCATACTATAGCAGAAGATCGATAGTGCAGATGGTGGGAGTTCAAATTCAAGCCTCATTCTTATTTTATTTTATTTTTTGTTTCTTTTTCTGTCTTCTCCTTTGGGTTTTCTGTTCCTACCTGGCCCCCAACCCCCCCAAAAGAAAAAAGGGGAAAAAAAAAACTTCCTTGCATTCTTGAGGACCATTAAAAATAAACAAATATTAATTTGGGTTTTGGGGTTGGGGGGGGGGGGGCAAGAAATGAGATGAAGAGGCTTACAATATCAAGCACAATCATTACTATATTTATAATTTTATTTTTAGTATTACTTTTTCTGATCTTTCATTTCCTATGGGTTTTCTGTTCCTACCCTGGCCCCCAAAACCCCCCAAAGAAAAAGGGAGGAAAAAAAAAAACTTCCTTGCATTTCTTGAGGACCATTAAAAATAAACAAATATTTAATTTGGGTTTGGGTTGGGGGGGGGGTTGGCTAATTTCTAATAACTTTGGGGTTGGGGGGGGGGGGTTGGCTAAATTTCTAATAACAAGATAAGTCTATGTAACTGATTTATAAAATTAATATTTTTTGGTCCTTAGGCCTTATAAAAATAATAATTACAATCATGCTAGGTTTGGGTTGCGGTTTTACTTCTACTTCCTCCTTTACTATCTCCAATTAGTAAACAATAGCGTTTGGCTATGATGAAATCATGAACGGTTCTGCTAAGCTTTTAAATCCTATCTGGTTAGAGTCGGGGTCCAAAAGGACCATCTGCACTCTTGAAAGTAGACCGCAGACTCTGGCATTTGCCTTACCTGCTTGTTCTGAGTAAGCCCTTAAATCTGTTGAAGCTGCAGTTTTTCTGTAACAACTCTTTAGCCTTCTTGTTACTTGTTTTCTATCTGTACTTAAAATCTGATGTCATTTGTGCTTTTATGTTTGCAGGTTTCGCTTCTAAATATTGTAGTAGAGTTGAAGAAATGCTGCAATCATCCTTTCCTATTTGAAAGTGCTGATCATGGTTATGGTGGGGACTCTGGCATTAATGATAACAGCAAATTGGAGAGAATTATCTTGAGCAGTGGAAAGTTGGTTATACTTGACAAGTTACTGGTCAGGTTGCATGAGACAAAACATCGTGTTCTGATTTTTTCCCAGGTTTGTTTCAGAAGCATTCTGGCACTTATGGGAATAATTTGCCTCCTCTCAAGCAATAAATGAGACAATGCTTTCATTTTGTGGCTCAGCTTCTTGTTTGTGGTGAGGGAGAGCAATATTTTGAACTGTGTACTTATCTTGTGTGAATGGTTTATTCTTAATTTCAACGAAGTTCTCAAAAGTTATTACGGTGGCTAAATTTAAAGCCTGGCTGGAGTCTCTTTAACTGTCACTGATTTCCTGAGTGATCAAGTCTTACAGGATCTTCTCATGTCAAAGTTTTGTGTTGCGTGTTCTTTTTCAGTTTCTAGTATTTCTGTGTCTTTGTTTACCTAACTGCTAAAAAATTAGGTATGATCCACAACTTTGCAGAACCTTATTGAATGAGCTTTGAAACAAATTTATATATGCTTAGAGACTTGTTTGGAATTTTTTTTTTCTCTTGCTTCTATCTGTTATAGTAGAAGCTGATTAATCTCAACTATATTTGTGGATCGGTCTGGTTTCAAATTATAGATTCAGGTGTATTAAGTGATTTATGAAATGCAATGTTGGTAATTTGTTGCAGATGGTGAGAATGTTGGATATACTAGCAGAATATATGTCGATTAGAGGTTTTCAATTTCAAAGGCTTGATGGTAGTACAAAGGCTGAGTTGCGACAGCAGGCTATGGATCATTTCAATGCACCTGGAAGTGATGATTTCTGCTTCCTTCTTTCAACTAGGGCTGGTGGGCTAGGCATCAATCTTGCTACAGCTGACACAGTTATAATATTTGATTCAGATTGGAATCCCCAAAATGATTTACAGGTTTTTATTCCTTCCATTTCATAATTGTTCTTCATGTTTTCTAATTGAATTATTTGAACAGAAAGTTATTATTTGTCTGATTGTAATCTTTTGTTAGGCAATGAGCAGAGCTCATAGGATTGGGCAGCAAGAAGTCGTTAACATATATAGATTTGTCACTAGCAAGAGTGTTGAGGAAGATATCCTGGAACGAGCTAAGAAAAAGATGGTAATTTTCTTCGATACGTATTGAACCTTCATTTGATATTTTTGTTTTTTCAGCTTAAGATGCATTTGCTATTTGCATGCTTATCTAACCATAAATTTGTATGTATTGTGTGGATCAATATGTCCTTTCAATTGTTTAAACCAAATTATTTTATGAATCTCTGATTCACATTTTCTTGATAGGTTCTTGACCATTTGGTGATCCAAAAATTAAATGCAGAGGGTAGATTGGAAAAGAAAGAAACCAAAAAAGGGAGTTATTTTGACAAGGTAAGGATGTGGTCAGAATATTTTGCTGTTTCAGTTTCTGTATGGGCTGCAGAAGATATAAATAATGTTTCAAGCTGTTTATTTCAGTCATCAATTATTTATATGGTATTCTGACATTCGTCTATTTTCCATAATTACTGTATTATTGTCATTTGGTACCAGTTCTTATGCTACAAATTCTGTAATTGCAGAATGAGCTATCTGCAATTTTAAGGTTTGGTGCGGAGGAGCTTTTTAAAGAGGACAGAAATGAAGAAGAAAGCAAGAAGAGATTATTAAGTATGGATATTGATGAAATTCTTGAAAGAGCAGAGAAGGTAGAAGAGAAGGAAGCTGTAGGAGAGGAAGGACATGAATTATTGAGTGCTTTCAAGGTATGCAAATTATTATACACATCCTTAATCGTTCGATCATGCTGCTTACACTCTTTTTTTCCCCTATTTTGGCTGTAGTCAAAGTTGCTACTGCTAGATTTACCATTAATTAGGCAGAGCATAGAGGAAGTTCTGCATTTGCAATTTGTACTGCTGATTGGTTTGGTTCTTTGACAATATATAGGTTGCGAACTTCTGTGGCGCTGAGGATGATGGGAGTTTCTGGAGTCGTTGGATAAAACCCGAAGCAGTAGCCCAAGCTGAGGTAGGATCTTCTTATCTTGAATCTTATTTATCAATTTTGGATGATGCCTCTAACATGGTATTCATATATTTACTGTTAGGAAGCATTGGCTCCTCGTGCTGCAAGAAACAATAAGAGTTATGTGGAGGCTAACCAATATGAGAGAAGTAATAAAAGAAAAAAGAGAAGTTCCGAAGCTGTGGAAATACATGAGCGAGTGCAGAAACGTCGCAAAGCAGATTATTCTGCCCCTTCTGTCCCAATGATTGAAGGTGCATCTGCCCAAGTTAGAGAATGGTCTCAGGGGAATTTGTCCAAAAGAGATGCTTTACGTTTTTCTCGAGCGGTATTATTCAAACTAACTTCTTTAAGTCTTAGATTGGCCAAAAAAGAAAAATAAAAAATGGGTGAGTCTATTTCCATAACAGAATTTTTGATGCCACAACCTTAAAAATGGACTACTGTGGATTTAGACTTGCTAGCTCTTCTGATCTCCTCTTTGGCATACTTTTTCTCCTTTCTTCCAATTGTCTCCTTAACCCCCTTAAATTCTCTATCTTCTTTTTCTCTCTGTCATTTAAAAGAAATTTTCAAAAGCAGATGCTTAATAATCTATTTTCAGTTAAATCTGGTTGATGCAAAATCAAAAAATAAAACAAAAAAGCGAAACTTCCTAGAAAAGATAAAAAGAATTAGGAAGAATCCCAAATTTATATTGCATCTTCTATTTTGATTGCAAAACCTAAGGGAGGCAAAGGTTAAGTAATTCGAGAAAGAGACCCATCCCGTGATCTATTTTTCATCATTTGCATTGGTTTTGATTATTACTTTGATAATGTCTATGGAAAATCATACATCAAAAGAGCAAGTTGGGAATCCTAATTGTTAATTATTGAACACGAAGTTTTTATAACATAAGATTTAAAGCGTTCTCCTACTACCAGTGAACTTCTGTGAATCCATCTCCACAGTTTTAAAGATAGCAGCAAAACTGTTGTTTCTCTGAAGACTTTTGGCTCCACTGATTAATTGCATCTAGACTTTTTTTTGGGGAAAGATTTGTGAGTAATGTCGAGGCCAAATTGTTGACTAAATTTTAGAATTGGGAAAACTATCAAGGAAAATTTTTTGCCATATAATTACTTTTCCTTCCGATTCATTAAAGCTTCTGCATCTTTTTGGCCATTGATTTTAAGGTAGTGCCATTTTGACAAATCTCTGGAAACATGTCTATGATTGGAGTCAAATTCAGAACTTTCATGGTGTTGGATGTTTAAGATGCTAACTTCAATCGTCTGGCCTTACATCTTTTATCTTAATTTCGTTACTTTGTTTGATTGTTATTTGTTCCCTTGTATAGGTAATGAAATTTGGGAATGCAAGCCAAATAGAGTTAATAGTTTCTGAAGTCGGTGGATCAGTGGCAGCAGCTCCACTTGATGCACAGATTGAGCTTTTTGATGCTCTGATAGATGGTTGCAAAGAAGCAGTTGATACAGGAAATGTGGACCCTAAGGTATCACGCCTATGCATTATTCTGCTGCTACATTTGTCCTGTTCACTCACATAGTTGTAGCACATCTACCTTTTCATAATCTAAAAGTGCATCCAGCAGTTTCCTACTAATTTCTAATGGTGGTTATGTATAGGGTCCTTTATTGGACTTCTTTGGTGTCCCTGTGAAGGCCAATGATGTAGTCAACCGTGTTCAAGAACTTCAGCTGCTAGCAAAGCGAATTAGTCGTTACGAAGACCCCATCGCACAATTTCGAGTTTTGATGTATCTCAAACCTTCAAACTGGTCTAAGGGCTGTGGCTGGAACCAAAGTACGTGTTTTCCCTTCTTTTTTACTATCATTTTGCCTCTATTTTGGTACTAATGACTTCTGTTTTTTTCTGGCTTTTTTTTTCCCTTTCTAGTTGATGATGCAAGATTGCTTTTGGGAATACATTATCATGGATTTGGCAATTGGGAAAAGATAAGATTAGATGAAAGGCTTGGCCTCTCCAAAAAGATTGCTCCAGCGGAACTACAACACCATGAGACCTTCTTACCGCGTGCTCCTAATTTGAGGGACCGTGCTAATGCGCTCCTGGAAATGGTAAGCAGTTACTTCCCTGCAAGACAAAAGCGAAAAATTAGCTGCAGTGCAAATGGATCCAGTCAATCTGCTAAGCATGGAAATTACTTTTGCTGGGATTTTTCCAATCTACACCCAGGACAGTTCTGAACTGATCTGGTTCCCAAAGTTAAGCAAATGGAACCAGAATTTTTTTTTAAAAATCCAGTTCTAACTGCTAAAGAACCAAACTGCAGCCTCTTTTTATTTTATTTTATTTTATTTTATTTTTTTTGTTTTTGCGTTGGGGAGGGAGGAGTGCTAGGAAGATGGGGGTCTCAGATGAAGATGTTTCTCATAGATTTCAAGTAGGATGGATGAAATAGAGGAGTGTTACGGTTGTATTATTTGATAGGAATATATCTAACAAGGTCAAAATAAGTTCCATAGGGCGGTGGTTAGACCAGGAATGCTATATGGTAGTGAATGCTAGGCACTTAGCAACATATTCAGAAGATGATTGTTGCGGAGATGCGAATGTTGAGATGGATGTGTAGTCACACAAGGTTGGGTAAGATTAGAAATGATCACATTAGACAAAAGGTGTAAGTAGCGGAAGCTGGAATTAAAATAAGAGAAGAATGCCTGAGATGGTACAGTCATGTATTGCATAGACCCTCACATGCCCTAGTTCGCAAATGTGATACATTAGTAATGGAGGGTGCTAAAAAGGGAAGAGGTCGACCTAGATTTTCTTGGAGGAAAGTTGTTGCTAAGGATCTGCGGACTTTGAATATTACTAGGGATAAGCTACAAACATGAAGCTAAAGATTCATATAGCAGACTTTATTTAGTTATTGTTGTCTGTTCCATGCTTTGTTCTATTTATTAATATATTAAATGTTCTTAAAATTCCTCTTCAAAAAATTTTTTCACAACAATTATTTCAAAATGTTTTTTTTTGACTTATATTTTGCTTTGCATTGACTTAAACCTGATCAAAGTGGATATTTCAAACAAATGATTCATATAGCTGATTCCAACTAGTTTGAGACTAGCGCTTGGTAGTGGTTGTTGAGTTGGGGAGGGAGGGTGGGTAATCTCAGTGTTGAAGCACCAGAACGGGATCCAGTTCTGGTTCTGGAGGCTCATGTTTCCAGCTGGTTCTGGTCTCAAATAGTTCTAAGCCGAACTGAAACTGGGCTTCTGTCTATTCCAGTCAAATGAAAACTAGTTTTTATTTGCATTTATGCTTGTCGGTCATCTATACATTTAGTTATTTATTTATTCTTTTCATAATATACTTCATGTCGTTTGTACCTTAACATCTAAATAGTGTCTGCCATCATGGCTAGATGTGAAGTCATTAGCTTGCTCCCTATTTACAGATTTTATGAAGCTGGATGCCTAAATTGATACGTGAAACTTTGCTACATCCCAAATTTTTAGTTTGACCAATTGAGCATTTGTAAAAATCGAACTAGTGAATACTTAAGCATGTAAAATTGCACCTAGATTAGTCAAATACCTACCAAGTGTTCAGTAAGTGCAATTATTTGTGCGTTTTTTTAGCACCGAATAAAGATTTTCATATTTTTCAATAACTCTATGAGTGTTCAATCAATGCAATTTTGAGTTGAACTTGAAGTGTCCAATGGAACAATTTTGCAAGTTGAAATGTTTAATAAGTGTTAAATTTAAATGTAAGGTTTAGGTGTCAATTTATGTATTTGGCTGATCTTATGAGGTTTAAGATTGGTTTTGTTGACTTTATGTGCTTGTATCTGATGGCAGTAATATCACAAGTGTGCCCCCTTTGTTAAATGTTGATATTTACCATATAGTTCCTTGTTTGAACTTCTTTTGACATCGATTGCACCGAATTATGGTTTTGCTTTCCTTCCTCATCGTTTCAATTTGTATGTACAGGAAATTACTGCTGTTGGTGGAAAGAATGCAAATGCTAAAGGGGGTCGTAAGGCATCCAAGAAGCAAAAAGATAATGTTCTCAATGTTCCAGTATCTCGCAGCAGGGTCAAGAAAGGAAAACCTGGTCCTGCAATTGTCGGTTTCCAAAACAGCAGGAATCGACCTCAGAAACCTCAGAAAGCTGAACAGTTGGCGAAAGAGGAGGGTGAAATGTCAGACAATGAGGAACTGTGTGAACAATTTAAAGAAGTGAAATGGATGGAATGGTGTGAAGAAGTTATGGTTGACCAAATTAAAACCCTTAGACGTCTTCAAAGGCTGCAGACTACCAGCGCAGACCTACCGAAGGAAAAGGTATAGACAGCTCTAATTCCATATTATCTGGTTTATTTTCATTGTATGAAAGAATTATATGTTCAACCTTTTCTTGCAGGTGCTTTCTAAAATTCGGAATTACTTGCAGCTTCTTGGGCGGAGGATAGACCAAATTGTGGTAGAATACGAGGAAGAGCTTTATAGACAAGATAGTATGTGTTATTTCCATCTAAACTATTCTTTGATTGTGTGATCCAAATTGGCTGTGTTTTTCATTTCTCTCTTGTTGTCATCTTCTCTTCCTTACTAATTCAATAATGCTTTTTCAGGGATGACTACGCGATTGTGGAACTATGTCTCTACTTTTTCAAATTTATCTGGGGAGAGACTTCATCAGATCTATTCTAAACTTAAGCAGGAGCAGGACGATGAGTCAGGGGTTGGGCCGTCCCACATCAATGGCTCTGCATCTGGTCCAATTGATAGTGATTCCAACTATTTTCCTACTTCACGCCATGTTGAGAGGCAAAGAGGTTATAAAAATATGAATTCATATCAAATGCAAGAATCAATTCAAAAAGGTCATGATAATGGGAAATTTGAAGCGTGGAAACGACGTAGAAGAGCTGAAGCTGATACACATTCACAAAGTCAACCCCCTTTGCAAAGACCAATAAGTAATGGTGTCCGTGTAACTGATCCTAACTCATTGGGGATTCTTGGGGCTGCACCAACTGATAATAGGCGATTTAGTAGTGAGAGGCCTTTGCGGATGCGGCAAACTGGTTTTCCTGCAAGACAGAATTTCTCATCAGGTATAAAATAGTTGTAGTGTTCTGTGGAAGGAGACCAGGTGATTGAAAACTGATTCCTCTGGCTTTTCCCTGGTTGCGTCACTGCGTAAGCCGTTGGATATAGAAACTTTTGGAATTCTTTTTCAACATCAGAATAAAAACTTTTGGATTCCGATTTTGTTTTAATGTGGCTGATCGCAAAGCTTTCCATCAGAAGGAGGAATTTGCGTTTCTTTGGGAAGGCAGCTGAGGAGAATGGCCAAACTCAATTAACATGAGCAAGATGCATCTTGCAACAATTTTTTTGTCCCTTAGGAAATGAGTCTGGTAATTAGTTCTACGTATATAGTGAAGAATTAGGAGAGAAATATTAGCATCTAATTCAATTTGAAATATACATACATGAGCTGGACAATTTACATGTATTATGCGATGTGAAAAGTGTACATTATCAGTTTTGCATAGTTCCGAATACTTGTTTTTCCTTTGCTAAGTGTCTGAGAGTATTCAATAATTTAATATAAGCTCTTGCTCATTTTGGGCATATGCCGTCTGAGTACTGTAAATTTGAGTGAAATCCCGCTATATTTTCTTGCTTATTTATCGCATTAGAGTTGTAGTGGTGTTTCCTTTTGACAGGTGATCTTCTAGATGGTGATTGTGCCTAAATGCTTATTCCTGACATATGCTTACGCTTTCAGGCGGCCATGATGTGGAAGTTTTGAGTATCCTAATGGCAGGTTTGTAACTGTTGGCGTTCTCAGTATGAGGAGTCCATTCTGATCAATGAGAAGTTGCACTAAATAATGTCATTCCTAATTATGGACATTTATCTATTTTATTGACTTTCCTTGTACACTGTTCCTTTTTTTTATTATTATTATTCTAGTGTTATGTGCGTGTACATTTATCTATTTTAATTGTGTTTTTGGTCATTTGATTGAAGTAATGTAAGCCACAATATGTGGCTCTGTTTTAAAAGTATTGTTCAAACGATAAAGAAACTTATATCGTCTGAGATAATTGCCAAGAAGAGAGATAGCAAAAGGTCGAAGCTGCCTCTAGTTGCCGGAGATAAAAACAGAAACTATAGAAGATGAAATTGAAAGTGCTGTGTGGTCTTAATTCCTATAAGCGAGGGTGTGGTTGACAGCCTTTTATCGCATTATCTTTCTCATTGATATCTCAACCTCATACTACCCGCTTCCAAAAATCTATGTTGGCTGTCACAAATTTGATTAATCATTTATTTAATTAGACCAAAATTTTGTTTCTTTTTCCATTTTCTGCTCACTGCTTTACCCTATTTTCATTTTTGCCTCTATTTTTCTTTGGGAAAAACTTCTTTCCTGAATTTCATTCTATATTTCAAAAATATACATATTAATTTTTCAATATTTAAAATGTTTTTTTTTTATTTTTATTTTTAGTCTCGATATTTAGAATCTAGTTTATCTTCCTTCTACGTAACTGTGGATTTAAAGTAAGCCACGAATTTGTTTAGGCAAGTAGCAGAGTTCACAAAAATACAGGGACAGAGAAGCAAATACGAGAAATTAAAATCATAATATATATATATAATTGCAGATCTGACGTAAACAAAGAAAGGTTTGCAAGTCAGTCATTCTTAGCCGCAAGATTCGGATTGGTTCACTCTTATCTGCCACGTGTGTCCAGAGTAAGATATTGGTTGGCTCTCCCGCGCTCTTATAATAAACGAACTTTCCCTTTGGCTTTTTATTACAGAAGAAAAACATTTGCGGCCCTTCCCTCTCCAAACACTGCCAAACTAAAAGGAACGAGGCACACTGACTCACCTTCTACAAACTAAGGTAACCTTCTCTCGCTTCTTTCTTTCCCTCCTCTTTGATTTTCATTTCCTCCTCCTGTTTAGAAAAAAAATTTTTAAAGCCAAAAAATTTTAAAAATTGAATTTCTGACCTTATCAAAAAAATCATACATGGCTCATATATATAGTTTATTAATATTTTTTTATAAAATGAGAAGAGCACTCCTATTTGTTCAATCCTTGCCTTTTTTTTTTTTCTTTTTTTTTTTGTTGTTGTTGTTAAAGTTCAATATGTTTTCCTATATTTACTTATTTCAATATATATAAAGTTTCTTGTGGTATAAATTCGAACTTATAGCACCTTCACCCTTTTTCTCTGTTTCTTTTTTTTTTTTTTTTTCTAAAAATTGAGAAAGTCAAATTTAAGTTATAAAGATATTCTAAGGATATTATGATATAGTTAGTTATGTTGGTTTAATTATGAATCTTTAGAGTTATTTTTGTTTTCTCTGTTTTTGCTTTTGCCCTTTTAGACATAGGAGTTAATATCACCAGGCTTCAATCTTATTTTCTTTGTTTCACTTGTTGCATAAAAATTTGAAAAATACTCAAATCCCAATTACTGTTATGTAGAGAATTTCCTAATGGTGCAATTTTTGTTTTCTGCTTATTTTTGTCTCAGAGATACTGTCCTTCACATGTTTACTTTTTCTTGCATTCTTATTTGGGATTTAAATACAATTCTTTACAACCATCACGTCTTGGTTGATAACTTATACTATACCATTTTAATTTAGGAAAATCTTAATTTTATATATATACACGCAGACATAGTTATAAAAAAAATAATATATAATTATAAAAAGTGAAAAAAATGTTAAATTAAATATAATTATGAATTATAAAATGTGTATAAAAAGTAAATTAACAAACATAAAAAAAAACCAACGGCGATAAACGGACTCGATTCGATTTTATTTTTATGCTTTATGGCTTAAAATGAGATTGCACCTCCAAATAAAAAAATAAAAAAAATAAATAGTTGGAAAAAAAAAAGTGCTATCTTGGCAAAATTCTATTTTTACCCTTACTTTTTGAGTAAAATTACTAAAATACTCCTAGTGCCACAAACAAATAGCTTTATACTTTAATTTTTCTAAAATTTGCCCCTTGTTCATCCTTTTTGTTCTTCCTGGGTAAAACTGAATTGTGAACAGCAGAACTATGGATTAGACATTTGGATGCTTCAGATCTATACTACGTTTTTATGAACTTTTACATTTCCAATTAAAGTGTATATTTTTGTTTTGATTGCATTTTCTAATGCAGGTGTTAAATTGACGCTGCATAGCGTCAGAAATCCATTGAGAATCAAAATTTTTTGAAGGAAAAGATGGACTACATGTATGGACCAGGAAGGAACCATCTGTTTGTTCCAGGGCCAGTTAATATTCCTGAACCAGTTATCCGAGCAATGAATAGGAACAATGAGGATTACCGTTCTCCAGCTGTTCCTGCTCTCACCAAAACCCTTCTTGAAGATGTCAAAAAGATTTTCAAGACTACTACAGGAACTCCATTTCTTTTCCCAACAACAGGTATTGTCCTCATTTCAAGAAAGGTAACATTCCTTTTCAAACAGGTAGAACATGTTGGTAGATACATTTGGTGGATTATAAGTGTTCATACTCGTATGTTTTTCATTAGAGAGATTGTTTTTGTGACTTTCTCTTGACCTTCTTGGCATAAAGGAACAATCTTATTGTTAAGGGTGTAAACAGAGTCAAGCTAATAATGAATTGTTGATACAAGACAGAATATTTGAATTTGAGTTGATTTTAATTATATTGAGCTCAAACTCAAATGAGTCAAGATGAGTTAGATTACTATATAAATTGGACTGGAGTTCGTTCGAGTTTATTCGAGCTTTATTTTCATATTAACAAGTTTATTTATCTTTAGCAATAGAGTTTATTTAAGCTCAAGCATAAAACTTAAAATGCAATCAAACTCAAACTGAGTTTCGAGTGAGTTTTATAATTGAGTAAAGCTTGTATTCAGCAATGAATTGACTTGACTTGGCTCACCATGGTTGCCACCGGCCGAACTAGGGGGCAAACGGTTAGTTCCCATCCCATGGCTCACAAAAGTTCATAAAATTTACTCTAGAAATTAGGGTGACTTTTCATTGTATTTTGCCCCTCTTAACTTTTGAAAATTTTTTTTCTATCTCCTAACTTGGAATCCCGGGTCCATCACTATTCCTTTGAATTAACCCCTCAATGACCTTTTGAATGTTTGACCGGGTATGTTATCTCATACAAGGAATTAATTAATATGAACTTCTTTACGTGTTGAGCTAATCATAGTTTGTGTTGGTTGATGTTTGCTGTTTTCAGGTACTGGTGCCTGGGAGAGTGCACTTACCAACACTTTGTCACCTGGTGATCGTACTATATCTTTCTTGATTGGACAATTCAGTTTGCTATGGATTGATCAGCAGCAGCGCCTTGGCTTCAATGTTGATGTTGTTGAAAGTGATTGGGGCCAAGGTGCCAACCTTGACATTCTCGCAGAAAAACTTGCAGCAGATACTGCACACACTATTAAGGCTGTTTGCATTGTCCACAATGAGACAGCAACTGGAGTTACCAACAATTTGGCTACAGTTAGAAGAATTCTTGGTAAGTAAATGCTTTTTCAGTTGATTCTCCTTACATTTTGAATTGCCTCGGCCTCATTTTAATCTGATGTTTGTTTTAATGTTTCTCAGATGACTACAGGCATCCAGCTTTGTTTCTTGTTGATGGAGTTTCATCTATATGTGCTCTTGATTTTCGTATGGACGAATGGGGTGTTGATGTGGCTTTAACAGGTTCTCAGAAGGCTCTTTCTCTTCCTACTGGTATTGGAATTGTGTGCGCGAGCCCCAAAGCACTTGAAGCATCTAAAACTGCGAGATCAGTTAGGGTGTTCTTTGATTGGAATGACTACCTCAAGTTTTACAAACTTGGAACATATTGGCCATACACTCCCTCCATTCAATTGCTTTATGGACTTAGAGCAGCTCTTGATCTTATTTTTGAGGAAGGCCTTGACAATGTCATTGCAAGGCATGCTCGTCTAGGGAAAGCAACAAGGTGATTTTTTTTTTCCCTTGATTTTGTGGAGTAATTGGTGATAAAAAGATGTCTGAAATCTTGAAATACAGGCTTGCTGTGGAGGCATGGGGCTTGAAGAACTGTACTCAAAAGGAAGAATGGTTCAGTGACACAGTGACTGCTGTCCTCGTTCCTCCGTCCATTGACAGTGCAGAAATTGTTAGAAGAGGATGGAAAAGATACAATTTGAGCTTAGGTCTGGGTCTTAACAAAGTAGCTGGGAAGGTTTTCAGAATAGGCCATCTTGGAAACCTGAATGAGGTAATTTATCTTTCTAATTTTCTTCTATCTTCTTATAAGCTTGTGTTGGTCTCAGTCCAAAGTTAGAGGCTTTTCTTATTGCATCAACTGAATTGTAAGTTCTTTAGTTATTTTATTATTAATGTGGAATTTTCCAAAATAGCTTATGACTAGGGATGACAATAGGTCAGGTATCCGCTTCAAATGCATTACCTAAACCCGAACCCAATTATAAGTATCTAAACCTATCCTGAACCCGAATATAATTAAAAAGGTATGTATATATATATATATATATATTTTTTTTTTTCCTTTCAAAAAAACTAATTATTTTAAATGTTTTAAGAATATTAATTAAACGAGTAATGGGTAGCAAATATCCGAGTCCTTGAAACGAACCCGATACGGATAGTAAAATGCTACCCAAACTCGTCCCAAACTCATTTACTCACTAGAACCCATCAAAATCAGATCGGTTCGAGTGAAATTGCCAATGATCATGATTTGTCTGTCCAGTAGATGTTTTCTGCTGCAATATTTTGTTTATGTTAAAGAAAGCATTGGAACTATAACTAATAAGGGGCATTTATTTTTGTTAATGTGATACTTTCAGCTGCAACTGCTGGGTTGTCTGGCTGGAGTGGAGATGCTACTGAGAGATGTTGGTTACCCAGTGAAGCTAGGAAGTGGAGTAGCAGCAGCCTCTGCTTTCCTGCAGAACAACACTCCTCTAATCCCTTCCAGGATTTAGTAATTCATATGCAGTTAATTCTTTTCCTTGAGAGAACTTTGTAAAAAGATATGCTTAATTTCCTTATTTGTGCTCATACTGTTTCAGTGATCAAACGATGATGTCCTATGTAAATCTTTGCTTTTTTTAGTTTACTTCTTGTGCCTCAAACACCTTCTCAACACAATCTAATGCTTTGGATAATTCTTGTGTGTTTTTGTTTGTTGGCCTTAGATGTGCTTTGTTTAAGGTAAATCTACCAAACAAGGATTGTCGCAAATTCACTTCAATTTGACCTTTGCATTTCGGGTACCCTCATCTCAAAACGTTATATTTTTTAAATTGGAGCTAAGATTTGGAATAAAAAAAATATAAACATGATTCCACATATTCTTGGGTTAACCTAACCCAAAGACTTAAAGCACAACGATTGATTAATTAACCTGACAGTGAGAACAAAGTGAGCCTTGAAAAGGAGCATTCTAGTCTACTTAATCAGCCAACATGTTTAACCTTTCATCAGAAATTCAAGATGGTACACTATCTAATCACCAATTGTGACAAAACCCAACAAAATTATGACTTATATGAACAAACAAACAAATAAAAAAGATATTGATTAATGGATTGTCATAAGTAAAAGAACCTCTTATCTATTTCTTGGTAGCTTTTGATTAAAATAGACAGACCCACTTGGCCCAATAGAAGTGAGATTAATTGATTTTGTTGCCAAAAAAAAAAAAAAAAATCAAAATCAAGAAAACTAACCTAGAAAAATTATGACTTTTTGGAGAAGGAATTGCAACAAGGATTGAAGAGATGGTTGTTGCACAGTAAATGAGCAGTGGACATGAAGTGTTCAATCAAAACCGTGCATTTTGAGCCCTCGGGTTGAGTTAAACTAACTCAAGGTTATATTGTGGTCTCCGTTGTTTCACCTTAAACTTTATTTTATGTTGTAATTTAACTCTAGTTTGATCTTTATATTAATTTCATTTTGACTTTAATCTTTTATTGCAATAACACTCTGAATTGCAATTAGAACTTAAACTGCAAATAAAAAATAGATTTTCCTGGAAACTATACTTGATCTGAGGTTAAATTAATCCAAATTCTTTGCTCACATAAATTTGCTAAGTTTAATTATTGTCTTAAATAAATATTTTTTTTCCATTCTATAATTATAAAGTATAATTGATTATAATTATATCTTATCTTTTATTTTTGATAAAAAAACAATTTTTAATAGCTTACGAGTCAAATAATTTCAGTAGTTCAATTTTTTCAAACTTCGCTTTGTAGATTTATGATTATTTCAAAATTTTTATCGAAGTCAAACAACAATAATAATTAGTTTATTATTTAGGAAGTAATCAGATTTTTTTTTTAAAAAAGGAGTCCATGCATTAAATAATGCATTTTTATTTATTATTTCTCAAAATTAAAGGAATAATTTTAAAAAAATTAAAAAATAATAACAGAAATTTTTTTATTATTAACCTAAGCTCCCTTACTCACAAAAATATATTAAGTTAATCTAAGCGTAAAGGAAAAAATGAACTCCATAATCATGCAATTTTTTATTTGCAATTTAAACCTTAATTTTAATTTAGGGTACTATTGTAATATAAAATCAAAGTTCATGGTGAAATTGATATAAAAATCAAATTGGCGTAAAAATGCAATAAAACGCAAAGTTCAGGGTGAAACAATGTATTAAAATTTTCAAACTCTAACCTCAATTAAAAAATAAGGTGCTAATGTATCTATATTTCAAAATGAGAACGTCCGAGATACAAATATCAAATCAAAGTGACTTCACAACAATCCTCAAAGTTGAGGGTATTTTATAGATTTAGCCTAATTTTAGTGTTTTTAGTTGCAAATCAAAAATACAATTTGGAGTTCGCATTCTATCGGTTATGCTGAAACCGAATTGAATCAAAATAAATCGAGTAAATCAAGTTTTTTTTATAAATAAAATAGTATCGAGACCAATCATATATTCTCTCTATCATAAAGATAAATTTTTTTATTTGTCTCAAATTATAGGCTATTTTTAAAAAAATATAATTAATTTTTTAATTGTCTAACACAAATCTTATTTAATATGCCTTTTTATCAACAATTATTTATTTAATTTTTTTTTATTGAAAGTGATATCCAATATTAATATGGGTATATTAAAAAAGATACGTATAAGATTAATTGTTGAAATTATATTAACTAATTTTTATTAGTCTGCGTGAAAATAAAAATAAATTTAATGGGACAGAGAGAGTATAAAATAAAATCAAATTAAACTAAATTCGTTTGAATTCAATTTTTTGATTAAATTAGTTTAATTTTTAAAATGGTTTAGTTTTGAATAATAAAATCAAATTGAATTAAAAAATTAAATTCAAATTGAATAAGATATTGAAATAACCCGAATTTTTATTTTCAAACTTTTGAATTTTCATTAAATCAAAAATCCAGATTTATGATAATATGGGCTGTTAAGACCGAGTAATTCTAATTGAGCCCAAAATTTTATGAATTGGGTCCAAGCCCAAAAACATATTATTTAGAATTTTCGTTTGGGTAATACTTAAAATTAAATTTTCGTCGAAAAATAATGGAAACTTATTGTTAACTGATTTAAAATGTTGACTATATATATGTAACTACTATATAAAATTAATCAGCCTTAAAATTAAATATCTTTGTTTATTAATATTTTATGAATTAAATTGAGGGAAAATATTTATGGAACTGAACAAAATAATCAAATAAAAATTGAACCGGACCCAAAAATCAAATTATTTTCGGAAAACCAGTATTGAAAAAATCCATAAATCAATTGAAAACCAAGCTAAACTTCATGAATTTAAAACCAAAAACCAGACTAGAATCGACCCAAACCCCATCCACCAATTAGAAAATTCTAGAAAAAAAAAAAGGAAAAAAAAAAGAAAAGAAAGTAAAAAGAGTGAACGAGAAGAGAGATGTCAGTGGTTCTGCTCTCGCTTCTTCTTCTTCTCACAACCCCCCTCTCCTTTTCTTCTCGTTCATCCGACCACCGGCCGCTCTAATCCTGGCAAATATGGATTACTCTTAAAATATCTACTCATTCGCAGGGAGTTGGATTTAAACTTCTTGGTTCTGCGTTTGATTGAGTCCGGATTGAGAGGACATTGCGTCGATCGAAACGTTTTGCACCGTTGCAAACAATATATCTCGGCCGCATTCCCACTCGTTTCCGATGACTTGAGGCGTCGAGGATAAGTGTTTGATCGGACTCCTCTCTTTTCTTCCTCTTTTCATTTGGTGGCCTCCTCGTCGACGGTGTAATCAGCCCGGAATCGGGGAAAAACCCAAAATGCTGGTATCACCGAACCTTTCGGGTCAATTTACAAGAGAACACAAATTTCCGGCCAAATAGTTCACACCCACCTTAATTTGAATACATATTAGTGATCCTCTCATTGAAACGAATAAAATGATGTATTGTTTGTTAATTTAGGTGAAGATTTGACTTTTTCGGCCACCGCGCGTGGCGGTGGTCCGGCGACCGGCTGTCGAGACTTCGGCAAGATTTCAAGAGATAGAATGCTCTCCTTTTCGCGCGGATCATGGACATAACATCTGATTTTCAATCGGTACACTCTAAAGCTTAATTCGCAATTTTTGAATAAATCCCAAATTAATTAATTAATGAACTTAATTAAGTATTAATTAGTATTTAAGTAAATTAAATTAAATATTGTTAAATATATTTTAATGAATCATTAATTATAACTATTAAGCGACGGGTACTAGAACCTCCTCATATTCCTAATGCTATAAGTAAATTTTTAGGAATTTTATTAACAAATAAATAGTTATAAAACAATAATTATAACCTGCGTCTCGCTCGCCTTTAAGTGGACTAATAAAATGCACGGTTATGGCGGACGGGCATTAGTGGATATGAATTGCCCGGATGGATGGGCTGTGCGTGTGGATTTGTGGAAAAATTGAATTAAAATTGGGGGAGTATACAGTTTTATAGGGAAATTTGCCGAATTTTTTTAATAAAACACTTAATGAAGAATAAATTAGTATTAATCATTCTTGATAAGTTATTAGTAACGACTAAAAACCTAAGTACTTATGATATTATCATCGTTAGGAATATCATTTATTATTATTATAACGTAGAAATTTAATCCTTAAAGGTTATAAATTTTATCTAAAGGTTATAAATTAGAATAAATAAATAAATAGGGAAACTATATATATAGAGAAATATAAAGTTTAGTTTGATATGTGAGTAAAGTGAATAGTAACCAAAACTAATAATTAAAGTAAAAGTACGATTCTTGAATGAAACCCCTAATGTAGAATTTTCTTATTATGTTAGATGTTTATAGGTTCCGAAAGGTGGAGACAAATGCTGGAAGTGTGCAGTAATAAAGATAGTCCTTTGAAGGACAGTAAAGAACCGTGAGTAGTGTTAGATAACTAGTATCATCCGCCTGCATTCATGCATTCACGGCTACGGCTAAATGTTATCATGCATTTCTTTTTGTTGATTGCGCATTATTTATGATTTGCATTGTTTGCTGCCTATTAAAAAATTGTTTTGATACTTGGTGTTATGAATGTATACTATGCCTTGTTTGTGTGGAATTGGATGAAGTGGACCACCATGGGTTTTGTAGGACGGTCTGTTGATATGGGATCCTGATTATAATATGATATTTGACCGTCGGTCGTGGAAATGGGAGATCGGTGCCCCGCGTTGTGCCACCTGATGATATGGTTATTATGGAACCCACAGGGTTGTGCCTCTTGTTTGTTGCGCACCTGATAATTCTAGATATATAGATAGTAGGCCCATAGGTACCTCTTGTGAGCACTTGGATGATCTAGATTGGATGGAGGTGACCATCCGACGTTTGCCTCCTGTTGGTGTGTGGAAAAGAAAAGAGAGAATGAGAAAAAACAATGGAGAGGACTTGGTCAGTGAGGATTAGACCAGTTGGCCGTATGGGATCGGCTCCCTAGGTGGCATATGTTAATGGAAGAGGGGCGAGCATGTGTGAGACGGCCTCGTTTTAGAGAATGTTTCGGTGATGCCACTGACTAATTTCCACGTGATGTGATTATATTTGAAGGTGATAATACTTGTGATTGCTGTTTGTATATTGCCATTTGTGTGACAAAATTGCTGTTGTATTGCCATTTGTGTGACAAACTACATGATCATATAATTAAACAGTAACCAGATAAAAATATTTTAGCATTTGTGTGATTGTGTGGGGTGAGAGAGTTATCTAATTCTACTCATTGAGTTTGGCGCTCACCCCTGCCTACTAATTTTTTTCCAGATAATAGAAAGAAAGGAAAGCCCTATGGAGTTGAGACACTTATTGTAGAAGACTGTTAATGGTAAAAATAATGATGTAAATATAAAGGTAGAGTTCCGCAATTGTATTCCAGTTGGATTGTAAATAAATAGTAAAAGTCTATATTAAATATATGAACTGTATTTTGGATGCACATATATAATAAGTTAATGGGCCTGAATCCATAATTATGAATAGAATGTGAGATTTAAATAAGTTAGGCTTACTACGGGCTTCGGGAGCCTTAAGCTCACCTAGGTCCTAGTGCCGGTCCAGTCCATGGAAATGGGTCGTGACAGATATGAATAAATATCAACCCTTAGAAGGTATGAATAAGATACGTTATTCATGATTATTTATGTAATTTAATTATTAAATAAAAGACTATATTATCATAATAAGCTTTTGTAATGCTAATTTTATTTTTTGTTTTTATGAACTCTTTTTTAATTAATTAGGTTAACCCATTAGAAATATCCCGAATTTTGTATATTGTAACAATTGCACCGTAATTCAACCTTAACTCCCCAAGCACTCCGATTTTAACTTTTTATTAAAATTGCACTCTAATTTTAAAATTGATCAGAACAAGTGAAAAAAATATAATAAATTGAGAGAACATATGCACGGTTAAGAAAAAGTAAAATTGAGAGAATATAGAATATTATATTATATATATATATATTATATATATTATATAATTATATTAAATTTGTAGATTTGAATGGAAATTTCTTTTATTATTCTTTTATTATGCTATTAAAAAATATTAAAGTAAAAATTAGTAGATACGCATATGTTTAGAAATATGGATTAAAAATATTAAAATTTATAGAGATAAATTTAAAAAAAGTAAAATGAAAGATGGTAAAATTTATTAATTTGATTTATTTTAAAATTAATGTAAAAAATAATTAACTAGTTATTTCATTAAAATCTACGAATAAATATTTTATTCTAAATAATTAAGAGTCGTATAAATCTTCAACTTATCATATTATTAATACAATAATTAATCAATTACATTTAACATAATTTAATTCAATATAAAAATTTTTCATTTTGAATAGAAAATAATACCTACTCACATCCTTAAATTTTATAAATAATTTAATTTATTTATATCATTAAAAGTTATATAAATTGTCACTTAACGCACTATTAATTTTCTAACGTTATATGAATCAATTACATTTAAGACGGTTTAATTCAATCATAATTAATTTATTTTCAAATAAATATAAAAACAAACAATTAAGTCATACGTATATCATTAATTTGAAATCCTATGTGGCACTATCAAGAAAAATTCTGCATGCTTTATATATATATAATTTGATAGTTTATGGCTACAAAAACATGTTAAATAATCTTTAAAAAAGGAGAACAAAAGATTGAATAAGAACTAGTAACCCCATTAGTGAAAATAGTTGAAACGTAGAAAATTCTGAACATAAAAAAAGAATAATATGTTTAAAAGCATGGACCAATATACCTCTATCAAGAATACAGAAGAATATAGATACAACTTATATATAGTATTTTTAAAAAAGCTAAAGAGTTTATTGAGGGTAAATAATTTAAAATTTTTTAAAAAAAGTGCATTACTACACTATTTAAAAAATAATAATAAATGAAAATATTTAGATAAGAAACATAAAAGATACATTAACGGTTGTTAGAGGAAACAAACATTTATTACTTTACAATTTGAGAGTAAGATTTATGTAATTACCCTTGAATTTTTTTATTTTTTTCAAAACTCATGAATTTTTTAATTAAATTCAAAAAATTGAATTTTTGTGACGATATGGGCTTTTAAGTACTGGTATTTAATCTGGGCCTAAATAGCAAGCCCAAAACAAGTTATCGGAACACCTAGTCGAAAATAATTTAAACTTCTTAGAATTGATATTGGACCACTTAAAATAATAATAAAAATTATATTTACCAATTAGTAATCCTAAATTTGATTAAATCAATTAAATAAATCAAATTAGGAAGAATAAAATGGGGTTATTCAGTAAATATTTAATTATTGATAAACATGAACTGTAAACCGGCTTAAAGTTTCTTGAAACCAAGAGAAAAACAAGATAATCAAACAAAAATTGAGCTAAATCGTTGAGTTGGACCAAACCAGTTCAAATCGAACCGGAATGGCCCAGAACTCTCTAGACCCATCTTCTTCTCTCTTTTTCTCTCTTCTTCCCTTCTTCTTCGCGCATGCAAGGAGCAGCGCCCCTCCTCCTCCCTCTCCTTGTTTCCGGCCACCGCATGATGAGCACGAGGTGGCGGACGACTCACCTTGCACCGCTGGTCGAATCTCCAGCCTCCTCTCACGCGAAAAGGACCACCATAGACACGAATCGGGCTGAGTTTATTTGACAGCTTCTTCGCTTGCAACTTCTAGCTAGCCGTGCCATTTCAGGCGATTCCGGGCCACGAGTCAGATGCGATCTACCTCCCCTCCTTCCCTGCTTCCGTTTCATGGCTTCAATCTAGAGTGAGGTTGCCTAGATCGGAAAAATCACCATGAGTGGAGACATGAAGGTGACTGTGGCGGTTGATTCGCCCAAACAAACCACTACCTACTCAAAATGACATCAAATTCAGCTTCTGCAAGTCATTTCGAGCATTTTGGTATAGGTGTTGCATGATTCTGGGCCTCAGCGATTTTCCGGCCACCGTGCATGGCGGCGACGGCGACGGTCCGGCGACCGGCCGGCGACACTCCGGCGAGGCTTGAAGAGGCAGAATGCTCTCCTCTTCGCACGGATCACGGAAATAAAATCTGATTTTCAATCGGTACACTCTAAGTCTTAATTCGCAATTTTTGAATAAATCCTGATAATTAATTCAATTAAGTATTTAAATAAATTAAATTAGATGTTGTTAATTATATTTGGTGAATATTAATTATAATTAAAAGGTTGGTACTGAAATAAACATTCCTAGCTAATAATAAATTTTAGGAATTTTATTAACAAATAAATAATTATATAACAATTAATCATAATGGGCTGTGTGAAAATTTGTGAAATATATGATAATTTGGGTAGTCCAGTTTATAGGGAGATGCTGCCGAATTTTTAATAAAACACTTAGTGAAGAATTAAATTAGTTATATTCTTAATAAGTAGCAACGACTAAAACTTTAGGTATTATTATTATTATATTATTTTCATTAGGAATTCATTATATTTGTTATAATTAGGAAAAATTCTATCTAAACGGTTTATTAAATTAGAATAAATAAATAAATAGAGAAACTAATATTATAGAGAAATATAAAGTTTAGTTTGGATATGTGAGTAAAGCGCCAAATAGTAACCAAAACTAATATTAAGGTTAAAAGGTAGTTTCTTGGATTAGACTCTAATGTAGAATTTTCTTATTATGTTAGGGATGTTTGTTTAAAGATTCTGAAAGGTGGAGGAAAATGCTGGAAGGTTGCAGTAATTAAAGATAGTCCTTTAAAGGGACAATTTAAAGAACTGTGAGTGTGTTAGATAATTCGCCCTCATCCGCCTGCTTCATGCATTCACGGCTAAATGTTATCATGCATTGTTGCCTATTGTGATGCACTAATTCTGTTGATATTAAATTTATTGCTTGATTTACTTTGTGATGTGATATGCTGTGCCCTGTTTGTGTGGGAATTTGGGATGAAGTGGGTTACACCATGGGGTTTGTTGAGACTGTTTCTGTTAATACGGATCCTGATTTCTGATTTCTGTTTATTATTTCTGTTACTGCTGGGTTTGTGAGACCGTTACCGTTATATGGATCCTGATTATGATTAGCCGGGTAAATGGGAGATCGGCGCCCCCGTGTGCACCTACCGTTACTGTTAACCACACGTTGGCTTCTTTTATTGGGCGTACCTGATAATCTAGATTTGATAGCAGCCCTCAAGGTGGCCTCCTGTTGGCATATAAAAAAAAAAAGAGAGAGAGAGACTGGAAAAAAAATATATATATAATCAGAGGACCGGTCGTGTGAGGATTATACCAGTCAGCCAGAATGGGGGATTGGCTCCCTGGTGCACATGTGAGTGGATAGGCCATGTGGGAGGACGGCCGGTCAGCCAGAATGGGGGATTGGCTCCCTAGTGCACATGTGAGTGGATGGGCCATGTGGGAGGACGGTTCATCGGGTTTCGATGACTCCACTGACTAATTTCCACGTGATGTGATTATATGAAGGTGATAATAACTGTAATTGTTGTTGTATTGCCATTTGTGTGACAAACTGCATGATCATATAACTAAACGGTTGATCACATGAAAATAATTTAGCATTTGTATAATTGTGTGGGGTGAGAGGGTTATCTAATCCTGCTCACTGAGTTTAGTACTCACCCCCCCTCCAGCCTCCCCAGGTAATAGGTGGAAAGAAGAATCCTGGAGTTCAAACGAACGAACGAGATGTGGATCGGTAGGAGTAATAATTTTTGAATGTGTAAATGCAAAGGATAGCGAATTATGGAGTAGAGTTCCGCAATTGTATTCCAACGGGGTTGTAAATGAATAGATAGAGTATAGACATTTATTGTATGGATTGTACTTTGGATATTTTTGTAAAATAAATTATTGGGCCTGACTCCACAATTGTGAATAGAATGCGAGTTTTAAGTAATACAGGCTTACTACGGGCTTCGGGGGCCTTAAGCCTACCCAGGTCTTAGTGCCGGTCCGGTCCCATGGAAATGGGTCGTGACAAAGTGTATCAGAGCATAAGTTAGGCCTCAGGAATCCAATTGCGAAAACATAGGAATTAAATATAGAGCTCCTTATTGTTGGGATCGGCGTAACCAACAGGATCGGCCGTAACCAACAAAGGAGGTGTGGTCTGGATTGAATTCCATTTTAGTGCCGGTGGACGCATCGTGCACAAGGATGGAAGGAAATCTATATGAAACTTAGGATGAGAACTAACGGTACATAAATAATAGGTCTGGGTAACTGACGTTTATAAAAGAAATATTTTGAGTTTGCTAAATCCCCCTATAAATTTTGAAGCAGAAGATCGGTTGGAAATTGGTATAATGGCCTGATCACCCAGTACACCTTGATTCGACAAGAGACACTGCTTCGAACATTATTTGAAATTATTTAGAGAAGAATTCAGAGTTTTAAAGACAATAGGAAAGTGAATTTATTTGAACTATGATTTGAGAAACATGTTTTATTATTTGCTTATTGGAAATTGTTTTGAAGTTACTATTAATTGTTTGGTTTTATTGTTCTGTCGGCATGTCAAAAATTTATCTGATTTTAGAATTTAAATTATTCACCATGATTGCAAGTTTGATTTATTGTCTATCCCGAGGACTAAATTAGGCCTATAGAAATTAATACTGGTAAATTAATAATAAATAGTATAGAATATGAATTTGAATGAAAATTTCAATTAAGATATATATTAAATTCTAGAAATGTTATGGTTAGGGATTAAAAAGTGGAAATTGTAAATTAAATTAAATTAAGGGTTAGAAAAGAAGGATATAGGACAAATAATCATACTACAAGAAATCCTCAATTAACAATGGCAAAACTCAAGGATGTAAACAGAGAAAATTTGTAAATTTCTCAAATATAACATCGAGGAAAATAGAGATTTATTGGAATAATAAATAAAGTCAGACTTAGAAATGATATATTTCCGGCCACCGTGCATGGCGGCGACGGCGGCGGTCCGGCGACCGGCCGGCGACACTCCGGCGAGGCTTGAAGTGGCAGAATGCTCTCCTCTTCACACGGATCACGGAAATAAAATCTAATTTTCAATCGGTACACTCTAAAGCTTAATTCGCAATTTTTGAATAAATTCTGAATTAATTAATTAATTAATTCAATTAAGTATTTAAATAAATTAAATTAGATGTTGTTAATTATATTTCGTGAATATTAATTATAACTAAAAGGTTGGTACTGAAATATACATTCCTAGCTAATAAAAAATTTTAGGAATTTTATTAACAAATAAATAGTTATAGAACAATTAATCATAATGGGCTGTGTGTAAATTTGTGAAATATATGATAATTTGGGTAGTCCAGTTTATAGGGAAATGCCGCCGAATTTTTAATAAAACACTTAGTGAAGAATTAAATTAGTTATATTCTTAATAAGTAGCAACGACTAAAACTTTAGGTATTATTATTATTATAACTTTAGGTATTATTATTATTATTATTTTTATTAGGAATATCATTATTATTGTTATTAACTAGAAATTCTATCTTAAAGGTTATTAATTAGAATAAATAAATAAAATAGATTGAAACTAATATATAGAGAATATAAAGTTTAGTTTGATATGCTGAGTAAAGCAAATAGTAACCAAAACTAAATAATTAAGGTACAGGTACGTTTCTTTTGAATTTAGACCTCTAATGTAGAATTTTCTTTATTATGTTAGATGTTGTAAGATTCGAAAGGTGGAGACAAATGCTGGGAGGTGTGCAGTAATAAGATAGTCCTTTAAAGGACAATTAAAGAACTGGTGAGTAGTGTTAGATAATTCGGCCTCATCCGCCTGCATTCATGCATTCACGGCTAAATGTTATCATGCATTGTTGCCATATTGTGATGCACTATTTGTTGATTATTAAAATATTGCTTGATTTTACTTGTGATGTGATGTTGCTGTGCCTTGTTTGTGCTGAATTTGGGATGAAGGGGTTTCACTATGGGGTTGTGAGACTGTTTCTGTTATTCGGATTTTTGATTTCTGATTTGTATATTCTGTTACTGCTATATTACTGCTATATGGATCCTGATTCTGATTTCTGTTAGCTGGGTAAATGGGAGATCGGCGCCCCCGTGTGCACCTACTGTTCTGTTCTGTTCTGTATGATAAGAAAAGCGCAGAGTAACCTCTTTGGGCGCACCTGATGATCTAGATTTGATCGTTGCCCGCAAGGTGGCCTCCTGTTGTGTGCGCCTGATGATCTAGTTTTGAGGGAGATGACCGGGATGCCGCCTGTCGGTATAAAAAAAAAAAGAGAGAGAGAGTGGAAAAATAATCAGAGGACCGGCAGTGTGAGAATTATACCGGTCAGCCAGAATGGGGGATTGGCTCCCTAGTGCACATGTGAGTGGATGGGCCATGTGGGAGGACGGCTCATCGGGTTTCGGTGAACTCCACTGACTAATTTTCGCACGTTTGATGTGATTATATTGAAGGTGATAATAATGTGATTGTTGTTGTATTGCCATTTTGTGTGACAAACTGATGATCATATAACTAAACGGTGATTCACATGAAAATAATTTAGCATTGTATGATTGTGTGGGGTGAGAGGCGTTATCTATCCTGCTCACTGAGTCTAGTACTCACCCCCCCCCTCCCCCCCCCTCCAACCTCCCCAGGTAATAGGTGGAAAGAAGAATCCTGGAGTTCAAACGAACGAACGAGATGCGGATCGGTAGGAGTAATAATTTTTGAATGTGTAAATGCAAAGGATAGCGAATAATGGAGTAGAGTTCCGCAATTGTATTCCAACGGGGTTATAAATGAATAGATAGAGTATAGACATTTATTGTATGGATTGTACTTTGGATATATTTATAAAATAAATTATTGGGCCTAAATCCACAATTGTGAATAAAATGCGAGTTTTAAGTAATACAGGCTTACTACGGGCTTCGGGGGCCTTCGGGCTTCGGGGGCCTTAAGCCCACCCAGGTCCTAGTGCCGATCCGGTCCATGGAAATGGGTCGTGACAATTTATTACAAAGCAATACATTAATACATTAAGAATAATTCATTGTTATTAAAATTCATCATTTTTTAAAAACTAATAATAATGACTTAAAGCCAGTAATACATTAAATAACGAAACCAAAAACACTAATTCAAAATAATTCCAAACCAAACCAATACAATAATACATTAAATAATCAAATCAAACCAAATCAAAAATACTAACTCAAAATAAATTCAAACTAAACCAATACATTAATATATTGAATAACCAAATGAAAAACAGTAATTCAAAATAAATTCAAATCAAACCAAATCAACCCAATATATTAATACATTAAATAATCAAATCAAACCATACCAAGTGAAAGTCTAATTGGAAGAATATGTCACAAGTCAAATTAAAATACATACATCAAAGGTATTCACTCTCCTTTCATTCTGCTTCCAATTAGTGTTGCTCTTCACTGTTTGCATCCATACGCACAAATTTATAATCACTATGACTAGGCATCAACTATGCCAGCTTATGGGAATTCTCTAACCCATTTCCTCCAACATCCATAAACAATTATTTGACACCTTTGTCAAATCATTTTGATTACTCAAACTTAATTGTCATTTGAATAATATGATAGTTAAGAAAGTTTTAAATTTTAATAAAAAAAACTATATATATATACACTAAAACTGTGCAGCACCAGTATGTGTGTATATACATTGAAAACAATTATTTAGAAACTTCCAGTTCATTAGGTTAAAGTAAAAAGAGGTTGAAACAATTGTTAGGCGTCCTTGTGCGCACTTCCATCCCACCCACCAACACAACTCTCAGTCACTGCAAATAAATTATAAGCTACCAATATTCTGTTGGATTTAATTTTCTATTGTGGGCTTAATATGTAAAATTAAATATGTACAGCAGTCCAATTGTAAAGTCAATTTCAAATGTGGTCTTATTGACTATTGAAGGTATCAACTAATTATAGTATTAAGTGTAGAGACCATATATAATTCCCTATTTCGTTAAAGGACCGAAATAGGATTGTACTTAACCCTAACAGGTATATAAAGGTCGTAGGTCCCAGAGGAGTTGAATACGATTCAGTTTTACGTTCCTTTCGTACTGCATTCCGCAAAAATCGATTCTTCAATTCTCTGGAAGGCTGCAACCTAAATTCTATGACATCAAGATCGACGAACAACGATGTCAGGTACGCTTTCCCGTTATTATTCTTGGTGTTATAAATTATTAATCAATCTTGGAGTTTATCACTACACTTATATCCAACAAGTGGTATCAGAGCATTAATTCTAACAAGTGGTATCAGAGCCTGGTTGTGGTGGTCGTTGTTGTAGCCGTGGTATTTTGTGATGTTCATTTACAAGTGCAGGGTATTGTTACTCTGCTGGAATTAACAGTCGGGGACTGTTGTTGAAGCAACCAAATTCACAAGCAAGGATTGTGATCGTGATTGGTCAAGGACCATCGTGCATTGGTTAGTGTTAGGAACACCAGTACCTTATGGCAGATTTTTCTGGAATAGGTTTCATGGTTGCCGTCGGTTTAACGCCTGAAAACCTCCATTGTTGCCGGTGGATTCGTTTTGAAATTGCAGTTTAGGGATTTGTGATTTCAACACCGTTTTTTGACTCCCTTGGCTGCCGTTCACCGTCCAATGGCGACCAGAGCTTGTCTTCGGTTGGAACTGGTGGTGTTGGCGGCGGAAAGAGGAAGGAACTGAAGGTGGAGAGAGTCGGCAGAAAAAAAAAAAAAAAACCTGTTCTAAACCGGAGTATGGAAGTTTTTCGGTTAACATCTCCAAGACAGTGCAGCCAAGGCTCCATATATCAGCTTTAGTTAGTCCATATTCTCCTTGTCTTTTCGTATCAATGAACTCAGGAGCGGACCAGGCCGGAATCCCTCT